ACAAAGGCTAGAAACCAAGCATGTGAATGTCTCAGTAATGAAGTGTCCCCTTAACTGGCATTTGACAAAATTTTTCTGGCAGGGAGGGTTGTGTGGGGAGGACTTTCTGGCCACATGGTGCAAAGAGGTTAAAAGGCATTGACATGGAATGATAGCTTAGTTAAGCTCACCAAACTGACTTTTACATCTGAATATCTTGATTTAAGGTCTTCACCAATGGATTGCTTTAGGTCAGTCAGGCTTTTGAAGAAAAATGACGCAGGAATCGCAGGGATCTATGAAATACAAAAGTGCAAATAAGGAAATGTGAACCCACAGTGTACATATAACCAGAAAAAAAGTTAGAATATTACTCTAACCTCAAAGAACCATCCAAGACAAGACACCAGGAGTACCCTGCTGTGATTCAAATCTTCTTCGGGTGATTGAGTAGCTATCTCTCTGTAATCAAATGACATACAATGAGTGATTTGGTGAAAAGGCAAAACTTTAATCCTAGACTCCATCAGAGGAACTTGAAAAACCTATGGAATGCTAGCAGACTATAAGATTCTTTTAATTTATTGTCATGTTGTCTTAACAACACCGTGGCTCACTTATGGTTCAGTATTCAGAGAAGTGTTTTTGCTAAACACAATATAATAAGGATGGACAAACATTCATACAGGTTTAGGCCCTTGATCCCACATACCAACCATTGGGCCAAAGTACTTTCCAGCCCTACTTAGAGGTTCTTATTTGTCAAACATCAGTTGCCATCAGCTGGGACTAGACATAAAGTAAACTAGGACCAGAAACCTGTATATTCTCTGGAGCCAATGAAGGACCCCAGAGAAATAGTCCAAAAGAGGGGCCAGAGGGTCCATCATACTGAGGTACTCCACAGCCCATGGTATGGTCAGCACCAGTCTCCCACTGTTCCAGGCTTTCTCGAGGTAACTAAGGATGTCAAACTGAATTGGAATCTGGAAAACAAGGGATTGGCAACATCAATCAATTCATTCCTTTACACCCTTTCTTTTTCCTCTAAATGGTTGGATAGTTGGTTGTTGGTAGATGGGTTGGTCATGCAGGGTGTGGCTATCACTGGATCAGTTGGCTAATTGGTCAGCTGGTCTGCCAGAAGGTCAGATCGTCAGTCAGTTGATCTATCATTCCGTACCCATCACAATAATAGCTTAAGTACAAGTAAGAACCTGTTTCTGCAAAAATTAAAAGCGTTTCACGAGCTCCAAACAATTGTGGTTGCTTTGCTGGAGTTGGAGAAAACCATTTTGCCTTTATTTGTCATCACAGTTTTATACTCATTCAAATCAGTCAGAATGTAGCCACACAGCAGTCTCCTTGATATACAGTGGAATCCCAAATTTACAAACCTCCACGGGAAACAAAAATTGGTTTGAAAAATTGGGTAGGTTGAGAAGCCAGTGATAAAATTACACTGTTCGGCTGAGGGAAGGAGAATGACTTCTGGTTCGAGTTATCGGGAGGTTTTAAAAATCGAGGGTTTGAAAAATCTGGATTCCACTGCACATATTACAGTTCTTAGAGGTGTGCAAAAATATTATTTCACAGTTATAGGTTGACTCACTCTGTTTCTTATTTTACAAGTTTCTGTTGTAATTACTTCTGATGTGGTTTCTGCACCATAATAGGGTTGGAACAACAGAAATCCAAGGAACTTTGCCAAGATTCTGACATTCATTAAATAGCAGGAAAAGTCTTGCTTCAGTTCCTGATAAAGAGAGTTCCAAAGTCATTTAATATCATCATGAAAATAATTTTGCCCGGCCAAAAAAAGCTTTAATGATTGTATCCATGTCTACTTCAAACTGAATTTTTACTGTTCTGAACAAAACATTAATAATTATAATTTAATTAAATTAATTACCAAATCTGTCTTAGTAGAAAACGGAAACTGAGTGACTAAACTGCACATGGTGTACAATAACATGTTAATGAAACCAAACAAAGCATATACCTGACCTGATTTTGAATTGATAAATCCTTCTCACTGCCTTCTTCAATGCCAGAAAGGGGAAATTCTTTATTGTCAATCTTACAAGCAAAAAGTAAATTGACACAGATTAAATCAAGCTTTGTGGCTCTGACAGTAATGAATCATTGCTCTCCTCATGTGATGCAAATATAACTCTACCCCTACCCCTAAGTCATAATTAAATTGATGGTTTGCAAACAATTCTGACACATGAATTCAAAATGGACAAAAAATGCAGAAGTCTTTTCAGTGTGGAACAAGCAACAGCATTGTGAATAGTAATTTACTAACACATCAATAATGTGATTACTGCTGCAAACAAGGACTTATAGTTCTACAAAGCCAAACCTACTGAACCTCTTCTATCATGCTGGAGTCTGGGCAAGATTTAAATTTATCACCATGATATTCTTAATGCAATGAAATATTACAATAACAAGACATAAAATACCTCTGTTATCTTTACAATCAGCAAATCTATCAAATGTCGATTAAATGAATGGCTGCAGTAAAAGAATAATAATTGCTAATTAAATCTCTCTGCTTTGAATTATAATATTTGAGTTACAATATTTGAAATAGGAGCAGGGGGAGTTTGCTTCATTGACACCAGAACTTCAGAGGGCCTGTTAAACTTGTTTGACAATAAAAGGCTAAATTTTAGCAGGAATCTAAGAAGTACATGTAAGAGCACATCGTGTCAGAGATGTTTGTAAATGCTTGCTTTGATGCACTAGATGCTGTACATACCTTGCAGCAGATTGTATAAATCCCTTGAAGAATTCTTGCACATTACTAAAACTAGAAGAAGGACATGGGCCACCAGTGGATAATGGAGTAACAAATCTTTCCTGAAGCCTAACAAAACAAGGACACACAAAAATTAGAATGATTGGTCCTGGTTTGCAGGGCTTTCAATAAGTTTTGAAATAGCTGTCTGACTTAACTAAAGTAGGCGGCAAACTGATGAATTTTTTTATTAATTTAAGTGAAAATACAGACAAAGTAGGCGGTGGTGAGAGGTAAATTCTGACAAAGTAGGCAGCGATTTTCGCCAGTTGCCGGCTTCTAATGAAACCCCTGGGTTTGTGCCCTGGCTGGAGTCNTAGGCGGTGGTGAGAGGTAAATTCTGACAAAGTAGGCAGCGATTTTCGCCAGTTGCCGGCTTCTAATGAAACCCCTGGGTTTGTGCCCTGGCTGGAGTCATTGTGCTGTGTTCTTGGCCAAGACACTAGTGACTATTCTTACAGTGCCTGATTGAATCCACCCAACAGCATAAATGGATATTAGGGAATTTAATACTGGGGGTAAACCTAAGATGGGGTTACATTCCATCTAGGAGAGAGAAGAACACTCCTGGTAGTTTCATTCCGAGGAAGCCACTGAGAGGTTAGCACTAGCCTGATTGTTCTCCAGGCTTGAAATACCTAGACTTGAACTCATTTTTACATGTACCTCGTCCTCTAGCTTCGCCTAACAAACTTCGATTATGTCAAACTTAGATGATTGATTATGTCAGAGAGAAAATACAAATACTCTCAAAGAGAAACCATATACAGTAATAAACACAGATTGGCACTTTGTCATGAACACGAAAAAGGTCAGAAACAACTGAAAATGAAGATAACAAAAAGCCTAGCACCTTTGAAACTTTTCAGGGTTTGATTTTTGTAGATTGCTTAGCATACTTGATGAACGAAAATCACTTCCACTTCTTTCTTCTTCACACATCTGCAAGAATGATGTAGCATATGAAAAAATAACTAAGGAGGAGTAATCAATAACAATAACGCAGTGGACAAAATATAACATGACATAATTTATGATTGAATAAAGAACAAACAAAGATATATATGGACCAACAAACAAGTGAAAGAATAAACTAGCATAGAAACAAACGTCACATAAACAATAAATGAACAAAGAAGCTATCACATAACAATAAATGACTGAACCAAGGAATGAACCACCTGAACCACCCAACCAACAGACCAAAAGACAAACAAACAAGCAAACAAGAACACACACACAAAAAACAGTTTTTCTAACCTGTAATAGCTGAGACTTGAAAAGCCTGGCAAAATGTGAATAGTTTGCTAATTCTGGCTTCTGATTTACCAAAGCCCTGCAAGGTTATCAATTTGATTTTAATAAGTAATATAAAAAATTTTCATGAAGTAAAGTACTATTTTATTTTGAATATTAAAAATCAATAATTAGCATTCTTCTACTTGTTTTAAATTCTACTTCCAATGCTTTGTACATCGATCAACTGAAGATGACAGAGGGTTCTTTTGAAACATGTTTTTCAAACTTAAAAGTTTTGTTGTTTTCTTTAAATTCTTGACTTGCTTGACATTATCAAGACCCTTTATGTACAATATTCAATCAAGAGGGGTGTGATGACAACTACATTTAATCAGCATGTCTTTGTACCTTATCCTGTCTCCCATGTGCTCCTCCATGTTCCAACCTGCTGCAGAATGTGAATCTTCCCACTCTCGTACAAGCTCATAAAATACATCCCTAGGTCACACAAGTAGATTGAACAACAGTGTGATAAGTAATGCAAATATTAGTATTTTATAATTATGAGACTTTGTGACAGTTCGAGGGTTCTGTGATTAATGATGAAAGATGGGGTATTTTCAGATACGAGGAGAGTTTCTCTCAGACAAAGGGAAGCATTTTTGACAATACTTGTGGTTATTTTTGTGGACTGCCAGTTATGACATTTTCTAGTCAATTCTGAACTGAAAGAAATCACTTATTTTGATTTATATTCCAGTACTCCATCTTGATAGTTCATCTTCCATGTAGCTCNCACTCTCGTACAAGCTCATAAAATACATCCCTAGGTCACACAAGTAGATTGAACAACAGTGTGATAAGTACTGCATATATTAGTATTTTATAATTATGAGACTTTGTGACAGTTCGAGGGTTCAGTGATTAATGATGAAAGATGGTGTATTTTCAGATATGAATAGAGTTTCTCCCAGACAAAGGGAAGCATTTTTGAAAATATGTGTGGTTATTTTTGTGGATTACCAGTTATGACATTTTCTAATCAATTCTGAACTGAAAGAAATCACTTATTTCGATTTACATTCCAGTAATCCATCTTGATAGTTCATCTTCCATGTAGCTCATTAACATTCACCCAGGAACGTTAACTTAGCGGCAATTCATTAATAAATACCTGATAATTCATTCAATAGTTGTCATTCAGTGAAAATTCAAGGACTTTTGAGAACTGAAATTTATGTTAGGCTACCAGTATTTCCAGTACTTTTTTCAAGGCATTTAAACAGAACTTTTGAAATTCAAAGGTTTTCAAGACGTGAATGAATCCATTAGAAGTCTTACAATGAATGTTTTTATGCAGTCTGCCTATGGATGTGATTGGTCATAATCTGCAACCTCTTCCTGGAAGGNCCACTCTCGTACAAGCTCATAAAATACATCCCTAGGTCACACAAGTAGATTGAACAACAGTGTGATAAGTAATGCAAATATTAGTATTTTATAATTATGAGACTTTGTGACAGTTCGAGGGTTCTGTGATTAATGATGAAAGATGGGGTATTTTCAGATACGAGGAGAGTTTCTCTCAGACAAAGGGAAGCATTTTTGACAATACTTGTGGTTATTTTTGTGGACTGCCAGTTATGACATTTTCTAGTCAATTCTGAACTGAAAGAAATCACTTATTTTGATTTATATTCCAGTACTCCATCTTGATAGTTCATCTTCCATGTAGCTCATTAACATTGACCCAGGAATGTTAACTTAGCTGCAATTCATTAATAAATACCAAATAATTCAGTCAATAGCTGTCATTCAGTGAAAATTCAAGGACTTTTGAGACCTGAAATTTATGTTAGGCTACCAGTATTTCCAATACTTTCAAGGCATTTACTGAAACAGAATGTTTGAAATTCAAAGGTTTTCAAGACGTGAATGAATCCATTAGAAGTCTTACAATGAATGTTTTTATGCAGTCTGCCTATGGATGTGATTGATCATAATCTGCAACCTCTTCCTGGAAGGTCTTCTACATGTACAAATGGTGCAACCAAGCAATATTACTGCAGAAGTAGAGTGGGTTACCCAGAGACACTGAAATCAGTTGAAAGCTGCTAAGCCAATAAAAATCAAGAGTGCCCTGTCAAAAGTAATGATGTTACCCTTTGAAGTTTCTCACTTTATGTGTTGGGTTTCTTATTTGGCAAGAGAAAACACTGTCAACATTACCTTGTTCAAGGTAATGATAAAGACAAAGCACACTCTTTTAGACAAGTAATTACACATCAATTATTACACTGGTGTAAAATTACACTGGAGGGTCATGACCAATCGAAATCAAGACATGTTAAAGTGTACTTGAATTTGAATTAAGTGAATGTAGGCCATCACTGGTTCATACAGCCAGAGCTTGTCCTGGCTTCAGTGTTTTGGGACATTTCTACTTCCCCCTTGATGAGATGCTAGTCCCCTGTAGGGTTACTCTTGGCATTAAATTTGCTGGTACCCATATTGACACCTGGGTGAACGGAGGCTCTGGACAGAGACTCTTGACTAAGTAAACAATGCAAATATCATAATACCCACTAAAAAAAAAAATGATCCTGACTAGGACCAAAACTCAGCCTGCTTGATCTTCAATGTGCTAACCATTAGAGCACTGAGTACCCAGGATGATTGGAAAAGTAGGTAGATCTAAACAACGAGCAGTGTGAGAGCCTCGAATAGGCCAGCCACTGAGCCTCCATGAATTGCAAATACACTGTATATCATGGTCAGTGCAAGGAAAAAAGTTAACCTTATAGAAGCCTACATGAACAATGTGGCTGAACTCATTAAAATATAGATACAAACGCCAGCAGGACAGTGATTTCATTTTCTTTAATGATTAGCTCTGATTAAGAAAAAGCTTGGCATATAAGGGAATTCTTGTTCACAATATTTGCCTCATTAGCATAAGCAATTCAGTTTCTGATGGAGCTACAAATAAATCTGTTCTGAGTACAATTAACTCCGCCAGTGAATATGAGCCTGATGTATTGAATACTTTTTGTGCAACATGGGTTTAAAAGCTCAAAATTTTACAAAGAATGTATGAGATCATTAGTGCTCATTAGCGCTCATTTGCAGATTTTGAGAGACAATTTCTCCTAGAATATTACACCCAAAGAGCTAAAAATTTCACCATGTATTAAGTTTCACAAGCTCTTTAGCTGCCTGGAGTCAATTCCTATCTAACATGTTACCTTCTGTACGCAAAGCCGTTTGCAAATGAGTAAAAATGTAAACAACGACCTCAACATGAATCCCCCTATTTGCTACCGTAAACTGATCAACAGACTTTGCCTAACCCTAATTAGATTTCTGCAGCACTTTTGACAGACATGATTTGGAAATGTACCTTTTTTGGCTTGTAAAATAGTTTACATTTGACTCACAATTCACTACTACTTAACTACTCACATTAATTATTGAGAACTTTCTTCTACTCTGGAATCTTGTGAAAAATCAAATACACTCAAGAGTGAGAGCTGTTAAATAAATATTTAATTTCTTTTCCTTATTGAGTATTCTTCTCTTTCTTCATTTCATTGTTGTACCTAAAATAATACTTTTCTAATCAAGGATTAAGGATGCATACATTGTTTTTAGCTTCAATTGTCTGTTTTGCTTGAATCGNGAGCCAATGAAGGACCCCAGAGAAATAGTCCAAAAGAGGGGCCAGAGGGTCCATCATACTGAGGTACTCCACAGCCCATGGTATGGTCAGCACCAGTCTCCCACTGTTCCAGGCTTTCTCGAGGTAACTAAGGATGTCAAACTGAATTGGAATCTGGAAAACAAGGGATTGGCAACATCAATCAATTCATTCCTTTACACCCTTTCTTTTTCCTCTAAATGGTTGGATAGTTGGTTGTTGGTAGATGGGTTGGTCATGCAGGGTGTGGCTATCACTGGATCAGTTGGCTAATTGGTCAGCTGGTCTGCCAGAAGGTCAGATCGTCAGTCAGTTGATCTATCATTCCGTACCCATCACAATAATAGCTTAAGTACAAGTAAGAACCTGTTTCTGCAAAAATTAAAAGCGTTTCACGAGCTCCAAACAATTGTGGTTGCTTTGCTGGAGTTGGAGAAAACCATTTTGCCTTTATTTGTCATCACAGTTTTATACTCATTCAAATCAGTCAGAATGTAGCCACACAGCAGTCTCCTTGATATACAGTGGAATCCCAAATTTACAAACCTCCACGGGAAACAAAAATTGGTTTGAAAAATTGGGTAGGTTGAGAAGCCAGTGATAAAATTACACTGTTCGGCTGAGGGAAGGAGAATGACTTCTGGTTCGAGTTATCGGGAGGTTTTAAAAATCGAGGGTTTGAAAAATCTGGATTCCACTGCACATATTACAGTTCTTAGAGGTGTGCAAAAATATTATTTCACAGTTATAGGTTGACTCACTCTGTTTCTTATTTTACAAGTTTCTGTTGTAATTACTTCTGATGTGGTTTCTGCACCATAATAGGGTTGGAACAACAGAAATCCAAGGAACTTTGCCAAGATTCTGACATTCATTAAATAGCAGGAAAAGTCTTGCTTCAGTTCCTGATAAAGAGAGTTCCAAAGTCATTTAATATCATCATGAAAATAATTTTGCCCGGCCAAAAAAAGCTTTAATGATTGTATCCATGTCTACTTCAAACTGAATTTTTACTGTTCTGAACAAAACATTAATAATTATAATTTAATTAAATTAATTACCAAATCTGTCTTAGTAGAAAACGGAAACTGAGTGACTAAACTGCACATGGTGTACAATAACATGTTAATGAAACCAAACAAAGCATATACCTGACCTGATTTTGAATTGATAAATCCTTCTCACTGCCTTCTTCAATGCCAGAAAGGGGAAATTCTTTATTGTCAATCTTACAAGCAAAAAGTAAATTGACACAGATTAAATCAAGCTTTGTGGCTCTGACAGTAATGAATCATTGCTCTCCTCATGTGATGCAAATATAACTCTACCCCTACCCCTAAGTCATAATTAAATTGATGGTTTGCAAACAATTCTGACACATGAATTCAAAATGGACAAAAAATGCAGAAGTCTTTTCAGTGTGGAACAAGCAACAGCATTGTGAATAGTAATTTACTAACACATCAATAATGTGATTACTGCTGCAAACAAGGACTTATAGTTCTACAAAGCCAAACCTACTGAACCTCTTCTATCATGCTGGAGTCTGGGCAAGATTTAAATTTATCACCATGATATTCTTAATGCAATGAAATATTACAATAACAAGACATAAAATACCTCTGTTATCTTTACAATCAGCAAATCTATCAAATGTCGATTAAATGAATGGCTGCAGTAAAAGAATAATAATTGCTAATTAAATCTCTCTGCTTTGAATTATAATATTTGAGTTACAATATTTGAAATAGGAGCAGGGGGAGTTTGCTTCATTGACACCAGAACTTCAGAGGGCCTGTTAAACTTGTTTGACAATAAAAGGCTAAATTTTAGCAGGAATCTAAGAAGTACATGTAAGAGCACATCGTGTCAGAGATGTTTGTAAATGCTTGCTTTGATGCACTAGATGCTGTACATACCTTGCAGCAGATTGTATAAATCCCTTGAAGAATTCTTGCACGTTACTAAAACTAGGAGAAGGACATGGGCCACCAGTGGATAATGGAGTAACAAATCTTTCCTGAAGCCTAACAAAACAAGGACACACAAAAATTAGAATGATTGGTCCTGGTTTGCAGGGCTTTCAATAAGTTTTGAAATAGCTGTCTGACTTAACTAAAGTAGGCGGCAAACTGATGAATTTTTTTATTAATTTAAGTGAAAATACAGACAAAGTAGGCGGTGGTGAGAGGTAAATTCTGACAAAGTAGGCAGCGATTTTCGCCAGTTGCCGGCTTCTAATGAATCCCCTGGGTTTGTGCCCTGGCTGGAGTCATTGTGCTGTGTTCTTGGCCAAGACACTAGTGACTATTCTTACAGTGCCTGATTGAATCCACCCAACAGCATAAATGGATATTAGGGAATTTAATACTGGGGGTAAACCTAAGATGGGGTTACATTCCATCTAGGAGAGAGAAGAACACTCCTGGTAGTTTCATTCCGAGGAAGCCACTGAGAGGTTAGCACTAGCCTGATTGTTCTCCAGGCTTGAAATACCTAGACTTGAACTCATTTTTACATGTACCTCGTCCTCTAGCTTCGCCTAACAAACTTCGATTATGTCAAACTTAGATGATTGATTATGTCAGAGAGAAAATACAAATACTCTCAAAGAGAAACCATATACAGTAATAAACACAGATTGGCACTTTGTCATGAACACGAAAAAGGTCAGAAACAACTGAAAATGAAGATAACAAAAAGCCTAGCACCTTTGAAACTTTTCAGGGTTTGATTTTTGTAGATTGCTTAGCATACTTGATGAACGAAAATCACTTCCACTTCTTTCTTCTTCACACATCTGCAAGAATGATGTAGCATATGAAAAAATAACTAAGGAGGAGTAATCAATAACAATAACGCAGTGGACAAAATATAACATGACATAATTTATGATTGAATAAAGAACAAACAAAGATATATATGGACCAACAAACAAGTGAAAGAATAAACTAGCATAGAAACAAACGTCACATAAACAATAAATGAACAAAGAAGCTATCACATAACAATAAATGACTGAACCAAGGAATGAACCACCTGAACCACCCAACCAACAGACCAAAAGACAAACAAACAAGCAAACAAGAACACACACACAAAAAACAGTTTTTCTAACCTGTAATAGCTGAGACTTGAAAAGCCTGGCAAAATGTGAATAGTTTGCTAATTCTGGCTTCTGATTTACCAAAGCCCTGCAAGGTTATCAATTTGATTTTAATAAGTAATATAAAAAATTTTCATGAAGTAAAGTACTATTTTATTTTGAATATTAAAAATCAATAATTAGCATTCTTCTACTTGTTTTAAATTCTACTTCCAATGCTTTGTACATCGATCAACTGAAGATGACAGAGGGTTCTTTTGAAACATGTTTTTCAAACTTAAAAGTTTTGTTGTTTTCTTTAAATTCTTGACTTGCTTGACATTATCAAGACCCTTTATGTACAATATTCAATCAAGAGGGGTGTGATGACAACTACATTTAATCAGCATGTCTTTGTACCTTATCCTGTCTCCCATGTGCTCCTCCATGTTCCAACCTGCTGCAGAATGTGAATCTTCCCACTCTCGTACAAGCTCATAAAATACATCCCTAGGTCACACAAGTAGATTGAACAACAGTGTGATAAGTAATGCAAATATTAGTATTTTATAATTATGAGACTTTGTGACAGTTCGAGGGTTCTGTGATTAATGATGAAAGATGGGGTATTTTCAGATACGAGGAGAGTTTCTCTCAGACAAAGGGAAGCATTTTTGACAATACTTGTGGTTATTTTTGTGGACTGCCAGTTATGACATTTTCTAGTCAATTCTGAACTGAAAGAAATCACTTATTTTGATTTATATTCCAGTACTCCATCTTGATAGTTCATCTTCCATGTAGCTCATTAACATTGACCCAGGAATGTTAACTTAGCTGCAATTCATTAATAAATACCAAATAATTCAGTCAATAGCTGTCATTCAGTGAAAATTCAAGGACTTTTGAGACCTGAAATTTATGTTAGGCTACCAGTATTTCCAATACTTTCAAGGCATTTACTGAAACAGAATGTTTGAAATTCAAAGGTTTTCAAGACGTGAATGAATCCATTAGAAGTCTTACAATGAATGTTTTTATGCAGTCTGCCTATGGATGTGATTGATCATAATCTGCAACCTCTTCCTGGAAGGTCTTCTACATGTACAAATGGTGCAACCAAGCAATATTACTGCAGAAGTAGAGTGGGTTACCCCGAGACACTGAAATCAGTTGAAAGCTGCTAAGCCAATAAAAATCAAGAGTGCCCTGTCAAAAGTAATGATGTTACCCTTTGAAGTTTCTCACTTTATGTGTTGGGTTTCTTATTTGGCAAGAGAAAACACTGTCAACATTACCTTGTTCAAGGTAATGATAAAGACAAAGCACACTCTTTTAGACAAGTAATTACACATCAATTATTACACTGGTGTAAAATTACACTGGAGGGTCATGACCAATCGAAATCAAGTCATGTTAAAGTGTACTTGAATTTGAATTAAGTGAATGTAGGCCAACACTGGTTCATACAGCCAGAGCTTGTCCTGGCTTCAGTGTTTTGGGACATTTCTTCTTCCCCCTTGATGAGATGCTAGTCCTCTGTAGGGCTACTCTTGGCATTAAATTTGCTGGTACCCATATTGACACCTGGGTGGACGGAGGCTCTGGACAGGGACTCTTGACTAAGTAAACAAATGTAAATATCATGGTCCCGACTAAAAAAAAAATGATCCTGACCAGGACCAAAACCCCGACTGCTTGATCTTCATTGTGCTAACCATTACAGCAAAGAATACCCAGGATGATCGGAAAAGTAGGTAGATCTAGACAACGAGTAGCATGAGAGCCTGGAAGTGGCCAGCCACCGGGCCCCACGAATTGCAAATACACTGCATATCATGTGTCAGAGCAACAAAATAAGTTAACCTTATAGAAGGCTACACAAACAATGTAGCTGAGGTCATTAAAATATACATACAAATGCCAACAAGGCAGTGATTTCATCTTCTTTAATGATTAACTCTGATTAGGAAAAAGCTTGGCATATAAGGGAATTCTTGTTCACAACATTTGCCTCATTAGCATAAGCAATTCAGTTTGCGATGGAGCTACAAATAAATCTGTTCCGAATATTGAAAGGTCATAGTACGATTAACTCTGCCAGTGAATATGAGCCTGATGTATTGAATACTTTTTTGTGCAACATGGGTTTAAAATCTTAAAATTTTACAAAGAATGTATGAGATCATTAGTGCTCATTAGTGCTCATTTGTAGTTTTTGAAAGACAATTTCTCCTAGAATATTACACCCAAAGAGCTAAAAATTTCACCATGTATTAAGTTTCAAAAGCTCTTTAGCTGCCTGGAGTCAATTCCTATCTAACATGTTGTCTTCTGTACGCAAAGCCGTTTGCAAATGAGTAAAAATGTAAACAACGACCTCAACAAGAATCCCCCTATTTGCTACCGTAAACTGATCAACAGACTTTGCCTAACCGTAATTAGATTTCTGCAGCACTTTTGACAGACATGATTTGGAAGTGTACCTTTTTTGGCTTGTAAAATAGTTTACATTTGACTCACAATTCACTACTACTTAACTACTCACATTAATTATTGAGAACTTTCTTCTACTCTGGAATCTTGTGAAAAATCAAATACACTCAAGAGTGAGAGCTGTTAAATAAATATTTAATTTCTTTTCCTTATTGAGTATTCTTCTCTTTCTTCATTTCATTGTTGTACCTAAAATAATACTTTTCTAATCAAGGATTAAGGATGCATACATTGTTTTTAGCTTCAATTGTCTGTTTTGCTTGAATCGGAACTGTTGTTATAATTAGAGTTAATTCTAATAGTGTCACAAATTGGGTTTCCAAGGTTTTGGAATAGTCAAGTTCTATTTTTACTAATAGCTTACACAAGCATGTGTTGGAAACCTACTATTACTGCAAATTATCATCTACTGGCACAGGAGCAGAAGGGTTAACTTAAAAAAGAATTATATCCCTTTTGTACATAACCCTCAAAATACCAAATGTGCAATCAATGTAAGCAGAGAAACAAGAATAAAATGACCATGGAAGTGTGCTGCAGATGATTCAATGATGGAGCCGTCATCCAATTCATACACACGCCCAAAAAGTGCTGCAGTCAAGAGTCCTTTACTGAGTTGTTGTTTGCTCTGCAAATGAGTTACAGGTGGAATGTTATGATCCCATTCTCCAGGCAGAAGTGATACCCCATCTGCCACCACTTGTGGATAAACATATGGAGTGTCCAGCTCACCTTGCAGGGTGAAAGACTCAAAGATTGTGCTTGCACTGTAGGTTCTTTGTCCACAGGAATCACGGCTCGATCCAAGGCATTTGATTAAGGCACAGATTCGAAGGTAATATTGTCCCTCTCTTGTGTGAAGACCATCAAAGACACCTACAGCATACATCTCATCACCTCGTTTCTCTGTCATCTTGTAGGTGAGAGAGCAGCAAATGTCACTCCCATTGTAACACACATCCAAAGTTCCTTCTGGTTTGCTAAGCTCTTTGAAAAAGAACAGATCACCAAACAGGTCGGAATAGAAGGAATCTCCAGTCCCGGTGTCTCTTTGCTGAATCTTTTCTGCTTTTACCACAGAGATGTTATGTGGCATGTTCTTTGGATCCCTGGGCAATGCTGCAACTGAGAGGGAACCATTGGAAGACAGGCTCCTGAAGTATTTCTTAGCACCCGTTGGACTGTAGATCCCACTTCCTGTATTTAACAATCGTGGCACATGGGTATTTGCTCCAAGGAAATTAACTTCCATTCCACGAGCCCACGACCCATGGAATCCAATGGCTGCGAAAAGGGGAAGCACGTCAAACCATGCAGTAGGAAAGACTATGTGATCGACTTTGTACTCAGTGACCAGTGGGACTGCAGGATCATGAAACAGTGCATCAAAACATATAAAGGTTCCAAATTTACCAAAAGGCGTCTGAAAGGTGATGTACTCAGGTGCAAGTGGTCGATCGACAACCTTCATCTCATTCAAGAAAGGGTGTTGTTTATGATACCTGGCCACAAGTTTGCCTTCGTCGTCAAATACTACATTAGTGTTGTACTGGTAGCGACCATCAGTTGGACAGTGTTCATCAGTGCTTTTATTGCATGGCTTTAAGTCTCCCATGTTTGCTACAAGATACATATTATAGGTTTTTGCGAGACAGCTGAGGCGGTGAAGAATAGGTGAGGAGCTGTTTGCCTGTGGATCTTGGCATGCATTCCAGCTGACCTTCTCTGGGTCTGGGATGTTCTCCAGGAATGGTCTAAAGGATTGCCGTGTGTAACCAAAACCAGTTAAACCATATTCAGGAAAGACGATAATATTCGCATTCTGTGAACAAGTCAAAGTAATAAGGGTTAGCCACTCCTTATGTGTCAATCCAGAAGCTGCCAATATCACTTATTACTGGTATATTAAACAACATCATGTACACTAAAATGACTGCACTGCACTCCTTAAGAACTTCACTTGAAAACATCCCAGAAAGGTCTTGCATTTTTCTTGTAAAAAATAAAGCACTCAAATATTTTTGCTAATCCAGCTAAGCAAAACAAAATTTTTAGTAAATAGTTTATACGGTTTACATGAGATGAATAAAAATGATGGGCTTGAAATGTAGCGCAATCGAGTGTTACATGATAACTATACCTGCTCTTCAGCTTTTTTCATCTGCGCTTCATATACATCCATGTTTTGCATAACAATCGCTACAGCTTCTTTTTGGGGGCGTACAATTGTTCTGTTTTCAACTACGACAAAAGCATGCTCATACACAGCGGCGACAAACTCTGGTTTTGCACTGGAGGCAGTCGATATAGTCCTTGGTTCCAAAGCAACCAGCACTAAAAGCAAGACATGATGTGCTTGCATCTTTAATATCCTATAAAGTACACAGTTGAGAAGTTATATAAATGCAGTGATGCAGGTGAGAAATTAAAAATAGTGGTAAATAAAACTATCTGAATTATCAACTGATTGACTGATTGATTGATAGATTTATCGATCGACTGATCGATTGATTGACTGACTGGTTGATTTAGGTAACACCCCTCATGGCTAGTAGCTGGTCAGTTTTCACGGGAAGTAAACATTTATTTGTCTTCTGAATTAAAAAAAAAAAACGATCCCCAGTTTGCTTCGAATATTCACCAAATCTCAAATTTCCAGTTCGTTCAAGAAACTCACTCTACAAGCAAATGCCAAAAGTAATGCGATTTGGAAAATAAATCAGTGCAAAGAGAGTAGTATAAATTACACAAGCCGGAAAACAAAGGTTTATGTGTCATCATGATTTCTGCAGTAGAGTCACACTTTCTTTCACAAAAACCTATTAAACTGAAGGAACGCGAAACATTTGCGCGAATGTTAAACATCCATAAAAATTGCGGCTTCTATAGAAGACCCACTCAGCCTCCGCCATTTTCGATGCCATCGAAATCACGGATATTGCATGGTGAAGCAAAATCTTATTGAATTTACTGTTAAGTTGTGTCTCTGAAAGTATGTTTAGTTATCTGTAGTAGTTTCACCGTGATTTCCTTCGTTTTAGAATGCTCGTAATAAAATATAATAGCCAAACTCTCGTATGTAAACGAAAACAAAGGTGTGGCTGACTAAGAAGAAACGAATTGAAGAGGTAGCGATTGTTTCAGTTGTACAGGCGATCAACATCTGCATCAATGTAATGTACTACGATACATTTTGTAAATCTTCAGGACTTACCTTTTCTTAAAGTAAACTGTTGGAATTCCTGTGACGTCTGCGATCGTTGGACCTTGGTTTAAATTCAAGCAGTTCAGGATTTCTAACAAGTTTGCTGAAGGAGGAACCTCGCCAGATGCACAGCCCTAACGAATCGCAATGCCGACGCATGATCAGACGGCTGTTCTCTTTTAAATAGACCCTGAAGGTCAGTTGTCGGATCATATTCCATTATTCATCTGAAGATCATATAAGTAGCCAAAACAAGGTTGAAGTGCGCCACTCATGGTGAGCTACTAATCTAGGCCTTTCGATGAACAATTGTGTCATGATTTTGGCGACAGAAAACGCCGCCGCAATAGAACACATCGATTCAGGGCATCTTCTATTTTATCAGATTGAATGACTAGTTTAACTGTTCAGTGTACAATGACCCTACAATGGAACGACAGTATCCGATTAACCTGAGCCAACCGAGAAGAATGGTTCTTACTATTTTCTATTCTTTTCCCCAATCCCAAACCTAATGTTGGTTTGCCGCCATCGAAATGAGGAGGCACTCGGTTATTGTTCGGACTCGTGTCTAGCACAAATCTTCATCGAACTCTAGGGAATTATTTATGGGCCAAACCCGGGCAACACGCGCAAACTGACCTTGGGAAGAGTAAACATCCTTTTAATAGAATACTAACCCAAACACTTCCACACGTCTTTCAGCAGGGAACTACAAATTTTTGAAACAGCCAATAGGAACTTAAGTTTAGAGAACGAAAAAATTAAACAGGATCTTTGTGGGAGGCCAGTAGATGAACGACCATCCGTGGGGTATTGTACGCCCGATAAACTGAGATAAACAACTTGAAGTTACAAGACTCTCTGTGCGGGCAGTAAGGCCCTAGAATCACCAGACTAACGTGGTACACTCTTTGGTTTAGAAGAATACCGGGGAGATGACATTTTCGTGGGATCTAATTTTCGCGATCCGCGAAAATTAAATCCCGTGAAAACAAAACCCCGTCTTCAAAAAAATTCCGCGAAAATTTACTTCTTTTAATTACATTGCTGAATTGCAATGAAATTGGTTGCAAACAGCGTAACAAAAACGACCATATGGCTTCCGTTTTTGTTACTTTCAAGTACTGTACATGAAATCCGCGAAAAATTATTCCCAGGAGTAAAGGCTGAAATCCAAATTCGGGAAAATTTCTTCCCGCGAAACTCGAAAAATCCAAAGTCCGCGAAATTTAACTCCCGCGAAAATTTCATGCCACTCGGTATTGTTTTCCCGACCGAGGCTGAATATTTCTATTTTCTGCCGATTTTATGATGAAAATATTCCTGTGAATATTCTTAGATTATAGCGTACGACATTTCAGTTTTCGAATGTAATTGGTGTCTGGATGTTGTTAAAGTAATTTCAGCCCGCCTGCAGGCATTTAATAACTTCCTAAAGAAATGTTATTAGCATTGAATACGGCTAGTGCTGTTTCCGTTGTTTTTTTTGGCTACTTTTGCCGATTAGATAAAGGAAGAATTTTATACGGTTTAGTTAAAAAAAATATAACTTTATTGTATTTACAAATCCTCAACACAAAAAACTATATTCTCTCCAAAATCGCAGGCACGAGTTTTTCTTAACATATCCTAAAAATTTCGCAAATTTCACCCTCGATATTCTCATAAAATGTATTCTTGTATTAAACATTGTCAATAAGATTTATTATTTTTTAATGAGCTTGAGATTTCTATCGCTTGCCCGAGTCAACTATCACTCATAGAAATCGAGAGCGAATAATCTAACTGTTTTAGTGTAAATCTACCAGTCGTTCAAAACTTTATCTAACCTTCTTCACAGACACTTCAAAGACGCCAAGAAGCGGCCGTCATTTTGTTAACAAGGGC